CCCAGTGGGGGGGGGAGGGGCTTATCGGGTCCCCTTTTTTTTTTTTCTTTTTTTTGGCCTGAGCAAGTTTTTTAAAAAAGGCTCTCCAAAAATCTTGGCTAGAGGCGTCATCCTCTGCAATGAAATGCTTGAGTTCTTCCCACACACCGCTCACCTATTTCATGTAAATTCTGTCTCAATGCAAACTGTATGGACTTTTCTAATGAAGGATCTTTTTCAATCAGCATTTTCACAACCATCCCGAAAGTTTCACAGTCTTGTCGGTAAACCTAGAAAGATGAAATACATTGTGGTTAGCTGAAAGTGAAAATAATTAGTCAAATATTGAGCTGGTTCAGTTGGCAGAATTATGATGCTACAGTTCAAAAGGGTGAGAGTAATATAACTGAACCTCTGTCAGCCCTAAGTAGTCACTAATTGCCAAAGGCCATTTAAACCTCTATTTTTAAGGTTTGCTGACAACTTCGATGAGTAGGAAAACACTGCTATACCCCATCACTGACTACCGAAGTTAGGCATGACTTTTGTCAGCATAAGGCAGTCTACAAAAAGGACATCAGACTAAAGGTGAGAAGAACTAGGAACAAAAGAGTAGCGAGGTAAGGCACATTAATGGATTTATTCATTTACTTGTTTGGAAGAAAAAAGTTTCTGAGCACCTAACTTCTGATCATTTGTTTGAACAATGACCAGATGACAAATTCAAAATTCTGTTAGTACACAACAAACAACTATAAGAATGCCAAAAGTAACTACTTGAAAAAATTTCCAAGCTATAAATATTTAACTATACAGTCACCAAGGTACAGTGTGCACACACGTGTATATATAAATCCATACATATTACATATGTACATGTGTATATATTTTCTACCTCAGTGTTTATATTTTACTTTAATTACTATATATAATTTTTACCGGTGGCAATTAGATGGTTATTTCCTGTCCAAAAATTGCTGTTTCCTCCATACTGTTAAGAAAATGTCATTTCCTTAATTTGTAGTCACAAAATACATTTTAGATATCTATGTTATTTTTCATACTTTGTTATTCATGCATTTAGAGAAAAATTATAGTTAAATCTCCATGAAAATTAAGTGAAATACAAATTATCCTTTTTAAAAGAACTATTTAAATTAATTTTGACTTTTCTAAATTTAACAAAAACAATTAATATAACATGTTTATTCTCTGAAAAAGAATTTTGTTCATTTAGAAAACTTTAGAAAAAAACAATTTGAGATAATGCTTGGCTTGTGATAGTGTTTACTCCTCAAATGATCACTGCTAGCTGTGGTCGTTGCTGCTGCATTTTTAAAATGTCTGCAATGTTTGATTTCTTAAAAATAAATATTTAAAGAATATTTAATTTTGACTCTCACTAATAGGTTGCTAACTTATATTCAATTCATGTCCTTGCTCTTGAAAACCATCCATAAACCTCAAGAAAATTAATAGGATAAATTCTTCAGATGACAGAGAAATTAAAATATATAAATCCCTTAACTACTTTCTCCATTTCAGGGTGTGCATGTGCACACCCCACACACACTTTCGCTAAATAATGATGAAATTTACTTATAATAATAAGTTTAATTCCAGCTATTTAAACCAACCATTTATTCCAGTTTATCCTAAGATTTACATGACCCAGAATTGATAATACTACTCTAATAAACCAGCATAGAAAACAGTATACCATTCACATACTATAAGTGATGTCAAGGCAACAGAGCACATTAACTGCTCTAACAAACACATAGTACCCAAGTCAAGCCAATGCAGCCCCTATGGGGGGGAAGCCAGAACCATGATGTTTCATTCTTAGTGGAGGTAAATTCCTTACCAAACCAGTCAGCCCACATAATAACAGCATTCTAATGCCAACCACAGGCCTCAGCAGACCACTTTGTGGGTGGCCTAAATTTTATAGGCTCCTTTATAACAGATGTACTAGATGAGGATAATGTTACACTGTGAATTAACCTGCAAATTCTTTAATGTAAATCTGCTGTTTTACCTAAACTCTAACTCTTCATTTAGCATATTTACAGAACATAAATGTGCTACAGATGTGCATATCAAAAGTAAAACCATATTAAAATGTGTTCATACATTTATTTAAATTGTAAACTACTATCACTCTGGAGACAAGGTAATACAAGCATTTAAAGATTATGTTTTATTTTTTAATTTTAAGTCTTCTGAATTATTCATTGAAATAGACAAATATTATACATTAGTTAAGAACAACCAGAACTGCCCAAAGCAATGTAACCCTCTACTAAAGGGTAAATTTTCTAAAGAGACTGCTTCAAATACACTAGTAGGCCATTAGACAGGAAATAATTAGTTTTTTGTTAAAGGAAGAACCACACCCTCCAACATTTTATAAATAAAATTCACAACTGTCAGAAACCTATTTCCGAAATCTGTTCCACAGTAAACTCAGTCCCAAACAGGAAGGGTGTAGTTATCTGTAGGAGAGTTTGTTTGCTTATGGTCCCTAGCTGGAAATGCATTCTAATCTTCAGATTTGATATCTACAGGCCACACAGGAAGATTATTTTGTTGTTGCTTTTCCCCCTGATTGGAGTTCATCAAAATGGGAAACAGGTTAAAGTTTGGGTGGGGTTCACATAAACTGCAAAGAAATGTAGTTAAATTTGCCAGTATAATAAAAACACTATCCAAATGTGGTTTCACACAGTCCTTTATTATAGTAGCCTGTGTTAATAAATTCTCATACAGTACTTCTAGGAATAAACGAGTATGATAAAATAAACTACCAAGGCATTTTACTATTAATTATGCTTCTGGTGATTGGAAGAAGAGCATCTGGCCAAACAAGCTCAATGGCAAGCTTGTTCTATATCTAAAATACCTGTAATAACATAAACCACCTCTAAAATGTGTATTATTTTAGGCCTCAACTCTGATCCCACAAATAGAGAAACTAAAAATTAAGACCACATGAATTGTTAGAATTTTCATTTCAGACAAGTTTTCTTTAGCATTAGCATCCCACTGCTATCTGAGAAGTCTGATGGAATGTCTGAGGTCAGAGTTGTGCTATCTAATACAGCAGCCAACTAGCCATAGGAGGCTACTAAATTTGAGTATGTATGCATATACTTACCTTAATATTTAATTTATAATTTAGTTTATATTAATGTTAGGAGGTAACTGGTTAACTGCAAAAGTGAGGCATGCACACAGCCTTAAAAAGCTGGGGAATCAAATAAAAACAATTATTTTCTCTATTGTTGATGCCTCATCATTCTATATATTTTCCTTGATCTGAACCCATTTGGTTCAAATGCTGTATGTCCTGTGACCATCTTAGTTGGAAAGGTAAACACAGACAATTAAAACAAAGCATAAAGGAGACATTTAGATGTTGAAGGTGGTATCGAAGTTGGATAAAACAGAGAAGCAGTTCCATGAATAGGCTTATTGAGTTCAAATCCTGACTCCACTACTGCGGGAAGCTGAATAATGCCACCTACCCCACACCCAAGATGTCCAGACCCTAAACTCTGGAACCCATGAGGATGATACCTTACAATTCAGTGGTTCTCAACCTTAGCTGCACATTAGAATCACCTGGGAATCTTTTAAAATCCTGATTTCTGGGCCTCATCCTCCGGAAATTCTGTTTCTTTGTTACTAATGTTGTGGCCCCACCCCATAACAAAGAAACAGAATTTCCGGATGAGCCCAGAAATCAGGATTTAAAAGATTCCCAGGTGATTCTAATGTGCGGCCAAGGCTGAGAACCACTGCCTTACATGGTATAAGGGGCTTTGCAGATGGGCTTATGTTAAGGATTTTGAGTTGGGGAGATTATCCTGGAATATCCATGTGGGGAAAATGTAATCACAAAAATCATGTAAACAAGAAATGCAGGAGCGCCAGAAAAAAAAAGGAAATGTGACCACAGAAATAGAGGTGGAATGATGAGCTTTAAAGATGGAGGAAGGAGCCACCAGCCAAGGAATGAGGCAGCCTCTAGAGAACCGACAAGGCAAGGAAGCAATTCTCCCCTGGCAACTCCAGAGGAAGTGCAGCCCTGCAGACACTGTAGTTTGGGAGAAAAACCCATTTCAAGCTCTGCAGGTTTTTTCAAGCTCACATGGAATATTTACCAGAATAGACAACATCCTGCAATCATAAAACACACCTTAACAAATTGAAAAAACAGAAATCATACACTATATGCTCTCAAACCATAAAGGAATTAAATTAGAAATCAACAGAACGACAGGTAGAAAAATTTCAAAATATTTGGAGATTAAACAACACACTTCCAAATAACACAGAGATCAAAAAAGTCTCAAGAGAAATGTAAAAATATTTTGTACTAAATGAAAATACAACTTATCAAAATTTGTGAGATGCAGTAAAAGTAGAGCTTAGCAATTTATAGCATTGAATGCACATTAGAAAAAATAAAGATATAAAGTTAATATTCTAAACTAGAAAACAAGAAAAAGAATAAATTAAATGCAATGTAAGCAATGAAACTGAAAACAGGAAATTAGAGAAATCACTAAACCTAAAGCTGATTCTTTGAAAAGATTTTTTTAAAAAAGCAATAAACCTCTAGCCAAGCTAACCAAGACAAAAAAGAGAGAAGACACAAATTATTTAATATCAAAATTGAAATAGGGGTCATCACTACTGACCTCATGGACATTAAAAGGGCAATAAAGGAATATTAATAACTCTCTGCCTAATTTGATAGCTTATATGAAATGCACCAAGTCCTAGAAAGACACAGTGTCCAAAACACAGACAAGGATAAATAAATCATCTGAATAAGCCCATATCTATGAAAGAAATTGAATCAATATTAATAAATTTCCCAAACAAAAAGCACTAAATGATTTCACTGGTGAATTCAACCAAACATTTAAGGAAGAAATTATACTACTTCTCCACAATCACTTCTAGAAAACAGAAGCAGAGGGAACATTTCCTAACATTCTATGAAGCCAACATTACCCTATTACCAAAATAAGACAAAGACATTAGGAAAGAAAATTACAAGACCAATGTATAGATATATGCTAATATGCAAAGTGTCCCCTCGGGAGTTTGACTGGGAGACCTGGAGTTCAATCGCTATGACGTGTGCTGACCAACAGGGGGTGGCACAAAATGAAGGAAGGTCCCGGCTGGCATCTGGCAGCCAGGGAAGGAAAGCCTTGATTGGCCCTGATCGCAGGCCAGGCCTAGGGACCCTACCTGTGTACGAATTCATGAA